TCAGTCCAGCAACCTTGGTTTCAGCATGTCATGGAGTGACATTCACAAAAGTAATTATCATGATCGACCACGTTTACCTCTCTGCAGCAAGAGCATGCAAGAGCATGAGCAGCACTAGCAATCCATAGCAATCCTCTTGCAATAGCATGTTACATGTCCGTTCCGTTTCCATTATGTAATTCGTGTCCGCCCGGCACCGCTGGCACATACATCTAGCATCATGTATGTAAGTAGCAATAGGCGGAAAAGCTCACATCACACAGCCTCGTAACGCTGCGCGGCAACTTGCCCCAGCACCCGCTCAAATTGTCTCTTTTCGCTTTCAGCAGCCTCAAGAGCAACTTTCAAAGAAGCGGGCCACATACACACACACAATGAATACAGCTCAAAAATCCAAGGAGCACGTTGAATAAAATGTGAAGAAGTGGCTAGAAAATATGGATTGTGGATGGATTTCAGAACAATTCAGGCCTCCAAGGCTGCTTGTGGAGCACAAAGCCCAAAGGCGATGTCAAAATGGAGCAAGTTCGCGCCTCCGAACAATAATATTGCGATTGGATGGTGGGTTTGGCAATCTCGCTCATCCTGCGTGAACATTCTGGTTGATGACTCACTCAACTCACTCCCTCCTTTCCTCCTTTTCGTGCCCTTGCCTTCACTTCCATGATCTGCAAGGCCTGGCCAATGATAAACCGATCCCTGAACCAGAATCAATGCTGTGGACGTTCTGAGAGGCCAAACAATATATTGGACACTGAAATCAAGTAGAAACTGTACTATATACCAAGGTCACATTCTGCAAATGCCATAGATTGACATAAGGTACTGATGCTGGCCAAGTAGCCTGGCGCATCCGTAATGATCCGAACCTTGGCCGAAGGCGGCGGGATCTTTACCAGTCCTGGCTGCACATGATAGCGTTGCTACATAGTTATAAGTTGTATACATACCAAGTTCTGGCTATATAATGCAAAATGAACATGCACGTACATGCCCCACTACTGTAAGCGGGTAGCTACGCATGGATTGCTGCCATATGCTTGGTTAATCTTGGTTACTGATGGCCAGTGGTGGCCAGTCACAAACTGCGTTCAAGGCTCGTTGTGAACGCCAACAGCCTGCACAATTGCTCGGTTGGAATCCAAAACATCTGCGGTGAGCTGGGTCTCTCTAGGGCATGTTCAGATATCATAAGAGGGACGCGTTCACCAAACAAACAACGAGCGAGAGAGAGAGAGGGGGAAAGGCACGCAAAGTTTTTCCACGACTGAACTGCGATGCCTGGCGTTCTTCCTGTAATGCCGCTGCGGTGGCCACGTGAATCACTGCATCTAAGGCCCTTGAGGTTCCTGCAGCGAGATGCTCGGCATTCAGCTCCTGAGGGAAATGGACCACTGTGGAGTGTCAAATGAAAGGTAGGCGGCGCGCGATTCCATCAGGAAACACATCAGAGAGATAAGAATAATGTTCATGTTTGATCATGTTTCAGCCCTGTACAAGTGCCGCCAAGGAACTGCTGTGGCCATGGTGGCTGCATTCAGTAAAACGTCCTTGGGAGTGGCTGGAGGCTGCGAAGCACTGCCAGGTGCGCTTAAGGATTTGATGTGGCATCGCCCTACCCCCCCCCAAAAAAATACTTTACTTCGAGTGATCCCCACCTGGCATTCTATCTGGCATATCTTCTGGCATTTTGTCTGGCATATTTTCTGGCATTCTATCTGGCAATGTATCTAGCAATCTATCTGACACACTATTTGGCCTATCTTCTTGCAGCATTCTATCTGGCAATCTACCTGGCATTCTATCTGGCAAACTATCTGGTTGAAGTCCAGCGGTGCACACTGCGATCGGATCCTTGCGGTTGAGGTCCAGGGATGCACACTGCGACCGGATCCTTGCGGTTGAGGTCCAGGGTGCACACTGCGCTCGGATCCTTGCGGTTGAGGTCCAGGGGTGCACACTGCGATCCGGAGCTGGCCAGACAAGATCGGCGAAGCAGATCGGCGAAGCAGATCGGCGAAGCAGATTGGCGAAGCAGATCGGCGATGAAGATTGGCGAGGAAGGAAGCAAGGAGGCAGGAAGGCAGGCAGGAAGGAAGGAAGGAGGAAGAACAACTGTGATAAAATCTAACAACCCTCACCTGATCACCTGGCAGGTGGGGAAAAACATACGACGGAGTCAGAACATATCTGTATAAGTATCTGTATATTATTTATCAATCTCCGTACATCATTCTGTGGAAGCTCTTGAACATGAGCATTGGCATTTCTGTACAGCTTGGTGCCTAGTATCATGCGTTGCAGTACATGGAGTGCTCAATGCCACATCGCAAGCACCGTCTGTTCGCCTTGCCCCATGACAGTGGCAGCTGTCCCACATCCTGGGCTTTGTGATCTTTGTGCATCCAGATCATCCAGTCGCTTGCATAAATCATATATTGCTGCGCACTGTGAATGTTAGCAAGGACAATCATTTGGTTGTCACCACTGAACTTTTCACAAGTTCCTGGAGCATCCTCGTACCCAGCAAGGCTGTACAAAACGACCAGCAACGGCCAACCTGCAATCTGCATTAACCTCCACAAACGTATGCACATCTATGAGCGAGGAATCTCCCACAACATGCAGCAGCAAACATGTGTTATTTAATACCGTCGAGTAATCGCCCTGGCTGATAAAAAAGGAATGTTTCGTTGGAGCTCATCAGAATAAAGCTCACATTGTGTGGAGCCGCCGAGCGTCTGGTCGCAAAATATGCCATGGCACGTCTCATGCGTGCCTCAAGTAGAGCTCTTGCAGGACGCTTGGAGATGCCACAAAGTCATACAAAGTCTAAGCTCATTTGACCCTGTCGAGTGACCTGTGCCACCGAACTGGCTAACCTCCTCCAACCTTTAAACCCGGAGATGTGTTTGCCATTGACAGCGAAAGCCTTTTGCCTCAGGAGGTTCACGCCGGGTGTGCACTCAGCTCAAAGCTTGGGTCCGCACCTACTTGGCTGGGGCCACACACACAAACACACACACACACATATATATATATACACACATATATATATATAACATAAACATATATATATATATAACACCAAGGGGTGCGTGCGCATATGAGTGATTGGACGTTTCAAACCTCAAAGGCTGTCCTTGGTCAATCCGTCGGATTCCGTAGCGCGTGGCGAACGCGTGGCGATGCGTTTGAGAAGCCATGTGGGATGCAAGCATCAAAGCAGCTCGTGTTGTCCTTGGGCATCAAAGCAGCTGGACTAACATGCTCCCAAACCACCGCACTCAACGAACGCAATTGCCACAGAACAATTGCAAGCAATTGCAATTGCAAACTGTTATATAAACAGTTAAACATATGTATGTACAATATGTTGAAGAAACAAAGAGAGCAAAGAATAAAGAATGATAACGGATGGCAAGGCTCCTTTCAATGGGCCTTATCTTCCTTATCATCTTGTCTCAATAAAAGCTCTGTTCTTCGATTCAGGGGATGGAGGACATTGCCATTCACACTGAAAGGAAGACACGCTCCGTGGACAACTTTGACCGGAAGGCTCTGCGGCTCCAGTGCTCCCTCCTGCTCCCTCCCGTTGTTCAAGAATCCATGCAAGCAAGCACAAGCTGAAGCAGGCATGGCACCAAGCGTGCCCAGCCCATCATCATTTAAGAACTGTTTAGAACTTCCGTTTCTTCTGACTGAGCATGCTCGCTCAAGGATGATGACCATGCTTACAAGTCACAACCCTGATCGCTTGCCTGGAATTGAGCCTTGGATGCCGACTTGGATTCGTGTGTGTGTTCCACCCGCCCTGTCAACGATCCATGAGCTTCATCAATCTCATACATCGTACATCCCCTGACCCAAAACAGCCACAGTACGCATCACGAGAAGTGAAGGACAAAAACCTGGCCATCCAAAGAAAGCGACATCCGAGTGCCCACTGCAAAGAGACAGCAACTCAGCCTGTAAAGTGACAGCAACACATCAGGGCGACCATGTCAATGTTTCACTTAAATCACACTATATATATATATATATTGCTGTACACTGTCATGGATCCTTTCGAGCAGCCCCACCCAGAGGACTTTTAACACCACAAAGTCAGCAGATTGATTTGTCAAACTTGCTCTCACTTTGCTCTGGGCAGCGCCAAATTTGCCTCCTCAGCCTAACTACGAGCATCCAACAAACGGAAAACACACACTCACTTTCTGTGCCCTTCATCCCCCATGTGATGCGGATGCTCCAACCGGAGATGCATTCATGCCGAAACTTGGCGCCTCTATCTGCCAGGCTCTGTAGCCCACCCGATTTGGCTTTCAGCCAGGTGGGGCAAACTTGCACATGACTTTCCGAGTTCCCGACATAAGTGGAATGTGGGTGTATGCTTTTGCCCGAACATCGTGTCAATTGATTTGAATAAGCAAATCGAGAAGTCTCATATCTATTTTTATGAGCTTTTGATTCTTTTGTACTTTTAAAAATTTTAAGGTTGCGGTTTTGTCCGGCTTAGCTCCTCAAAGCTGCAAGGTCAACCCGGCGGAAATCCGCACTGTCACAAACCTCTGGCATTCAAAGTTGGGAGAGAGAGAGAGAGAGACTGTGTTAAAAAAATGTAAAAAATACTTCACCACCCCACGGACCATGTCCCATGAAAGCGGCAACAGCCAAAGATCACAGTATTGATTCCGATCTTCCCTCCCTCTCTATTTTACAATTCAATGCGAACCCATGCAAATGGTATATACAAGCAGCTTGGATTGAATGGGTTCAAACTTCAGGGTAAGTGGATCACCAGGTGAGCACGTGGAATCAGAGCGTCTCAGGTCAAGCAATAAGACGATAAAGGAAAGAAACACGACTTGCAAATTCAAGTGGAACCACACGCTGACCAAGTGTCCATTGCCGGGGCGCGAAACCGCAGACTTCAACAAACAAGACTTCACTGGAACAACACAAAAGCAAGCAAAAGGAAGTGGCCCATGCAGGAGGAGGAGGAGGGAAAAGCAAAATTATCTAGGTTGTACAATCCCCCTTTGTGGACCTCCCTATTTCCTGACTAGAGAGGGGGTCGTCCACCCTCTTGATTGAAAGTTGAAACAGCTCCCTTTTTTGACCCATGCGTTGATCACATGGGCGGCCACGCTTTCTGAAACATCTAGCATTGTCGGAAAATATTAGAAAGAACAACTTGATCATTTGCGGGGCTTGCACGAGTGCTCACCTGCTTCAGCGGAGTCGTCCAAGTGCAAAGCCGATCACTTGTGCAGCTGTGCCTTCAGGCAAACAGCGGCTCCACTTAGCTTTAGCACTAATGCGTCGAGTTGCACAAAAAAATCTCGAGTTCAATCCGAACCGAGTGCAACTATTGACCGCTATGATGTTTCTGCTTTCAGATTCCTTCGGGCCAATATGGTTCTCCACAGGCTGACTACCACCAGTGCAAATGCCAATTGCTGAATAAAGAGTAGGTAGAGAGCACTGCTGCAATTTGCATGCCCAACGCAGCTATATCCTTGCAATGCAACTTTGGCTCTTTTGCTCAAGGCCAAGCGCCCTGTAGCTGGAGTCGGTGCACCTGGCTGTGCGATTAGATACAATGTATGTATGACATACGCTAAAGAATGTTCATGAGCTGTGGCCGGGATGATCTTGAGGTCATGCAACCATTCTGAAATGACCGCCATGATCCACATTGAACTCTGCTTCCATCATCCATCCACTCCCTTGTTGCTTCATATCTCACATTGTAACGGCAATTCTTAGCATGATTGTTGCTGATAGTCGGCTCCAACAAAAGCATAGAAAAGCAGCACCCTACAGCAACTACTTGAACCACTCCCACAACAGGGAAAAAAGGCATATGAAGTAATGATTGATAGGTGACACAGAACCAAGTGATTCACACTTTGCCCCAAATGAAAGTAGATTGTCCCATACTTCTATATATATATACTCGATCCCGCCTGGCCTCGTTTTAGACGAACTGCACCTGCACATGCAAACAGGACAAAGGGATACGAAGGGTGCCAAAGGCTAGGGCTGGACAAGCTCCCAAATTGTTCTAACATGATCCAATGAGCATCATGAGCTTTGCCTCTACCTGAGCATCGCCATTCATGGCACCACATTTGCCACCTGGAATGATGCTATCTGCAAATGCCGTTTGTCTTGTGAGAAGGCATCGCGGTTTCCCCGCATTGTCTTGCCACCCACAGGACAGCTGCATCCGAGACACTGAACATAGGGCTACCATTCACAGTGTAGACCTGCAAGGCACACTCTAGATTTCACAGGTTCTCCACCAATGTCAGTTGCAAAGTCACCTAGGAACAAGAAGCTACTAGGGGCTCCTGGCCGTACTACTAGGAGCAAGGATTCACAAATCTCACAGCGGCCTTAATGTTGTGCACCACCTCGGCTGATTTTTTCAGGGCGCCAAACCAGCTTGACGGTTACAGTGTTTCTTCTCGATCAGTATGCTGCACAGTATAGGACTTCAAATCCCAGGAGCGTATTGACACTGGGTGTGTGGATTGTTGAAAGCTTTGCAGCCAACCCACCTCGGGTTTTGGCACAATCGTCCGTGATTCAAGGCTCAAGTGAAAATTTAACACATCTCATAAAAACCGAGCAATCAATACTCCGGTTCTTTGAAGCGTAGCATGAATCTACGGCCGGCAATCGCGCGGAATCTGCGCGTCCAGCATCTCTTCAAGAAGTGGAATCGAAAAAGGCAGCTGCTTGCTGGAAAGACTTGATTGGAAAAGTATGAATCAACCTCCTGCTTTCTACGGCATAAGCACTGTATATGCACAACATGTCTATTTCTGTGCACCCAAGGTGCCCCGCGTCACCTGAAAATCCTGAGCAACACGTGACCATTGATGCCCCGACGGGCAGCATCACTCAGGTTAACCAAATCAAAAGGATTCAAAAGGCATCTGAAACCAAAACTCCGCCAAGCAGCCGTTCCAAATGTCTGAAATGAAATTGTATGGAAAGCTCTGTCCTCCACATCGTCTGATGCACAATGCGATATCAGACTGACTGTTTACACTTGTCGGGCCCCCGTCCCTTTGAAACCTTGTGCTTCTTGGATGCATTAGTCGTTTGACCACACAGAAGCACATTGAATGGATTTTGGCACCTCTGCCTTTGCTCGGAGAGACGCTGCCCAAGAAGTTATCATAGTAGGCCTCAAGTCGTTGGCATGCCTAACGCTATAACGTCAACGTTGGCAAGGTTCTAACTAATATATTATATATTTTGTGTTTGTCCTTCAAGGCTATGTTTGGCAGTCAGTGGCCTTGGACCAAGTAAACTTGTATTTCTACACATTCCCCCTTATGATGATGGGACTTCTTACGCAAGGCTGACGGCGCAACGGCGACACATCTTGCGTGCAAGGTTGCCCGAGGTAGCTTCACTGTGGCCAGCTGCCCCGGGCCCCAGCATGCTTGCTGTGTCATGTGGCTGTGGGCCCGCAAAAAAAAAAATACGTACTTTGATTATCTTTGATGAAATTTGCGTTGACTGACCCAAAGAAGTGAGGAGTTCTGCACGCCGCTAATTATGCCGCAATTGGCAATGCCTTCTTCACGATGTTCACGATGTTTTTGCTGAGGCCGCAGTGACTGGATCTGCGGCCAAGAAACTGATGGATGGCAGTTTGTGGGTCCCAAATCGCAAATCTCAGTCCTGGTGCAGGAAAAATGGTCGCAACATGTGGAACCCCACTACAATCGTGACAAATGAATGCATTGCGTCTGGGGGCACAGTATGCAGCGCCATGCAGGGCCGTTGTGCATATCTTGTGGAAAAATACCAGTTTCTACATGAGGGTGATGCAATGACCTCGTTGAGCTCAAAACAAGTCATAGCTGCATTGCTTCTTCTCATTTCTTTTCTAACAATGCTTGCTCCATCTCCTGAGTGTTCCCCCGGATTCAAGGCTGGCGCTCCTGTCCTTAGAGACAGCGAACACGGCGAAAAAAAGGTAGGAATGCCTGTTCCCAAAGGGCCCAATACTGTCCAACATCTGTCAACACTATATAGACACACCCAATAATTACTGTACTCCCAATGACTTTTCAATGTGTGATGACATGATGTCTATGACTGAACTGACATGATCCACCAATGCCCACCCAATCTGGAGGTTTAAGCCTGGCCCTTCGCGTTGCCTGTCAAGCCGCGAGAGTCATGATAAGGTGCTTTGGGCCTCCCAAATTGTCTGGATTCCCGATCCTGGAATAGCAGTGGCAGCTTGGTGGAGGTAGAGCAGAATCAGAACATGCAACATGAAATGATTGGCAACCCAGCATACTCAAAGTTGAGACATGAATCACCGGGCAATTTGCTCATTCGCATGCGTCCTCTCCATGTATATATGAGTGCCATGAAACAAGCTACAACACACAGAGCACACAAGCCCATCTCAACTCTGTGCATGTGCGCACGCATTTCCGGGCCCAAACAAACACTTTCTGCGATCCCTGCTCGTGCCCTTAGTCATCAGTAAGTTATGCATGCTATGCTATTGTCCAGAATTCATGCAGCATCAGCTACAAATTATGAATTTCCGTTGGGCCGCTTGAATGCAACCGAGCTGCACCATCTCCTGGCCAATGACCGATTGACGGATCGAGGCGAATCAACTATCAACGCATTGCCTACAAGATGGCCGAATGGTTGGCCAGGATCACACAGGCACGGAGACAAAAAGCCTCCCCATGGGCAAAGGAAATACACACTCCCCCCTTGACACAGCAGCTCTTCACAAATAGCCGAATGGCACTTCAAATTGCCGCCATCTTCAAGTTCAGTGCGGCTTTACAGACATGTGGGCAACCTAGTCTGCACGCGCTTGATATAAATATATATGTATACAATAGATCAATAGTATATTAATTCTTATTTTGGGGCACAAACGGACCGCAAACAAGTCGAAGCCACATGGCCACCAGTTGCAAAGTTTGTATAAAGTGAGCCGACAGGACAAGCTTCCTGGGCAATCGCCGCATTGGACCGAGGGAACGTGTTCACCAATCTTTGAATCTTTACATTCAACTTCACAACCGCCGAAATTGATCATATTGCGTAGTCTCCCCTTCCACGTGCCCCAAAGAACAAAAAACTGGAAGACGAAGATCTATACAACGGCTCAAAGGCTAGCAAGTGCGCAAAGTCCAGTGTAACGGGTCGTATACCGCGACATGAGCCATAACAACGGGTGATGTTGCACATTATGTAATTCTGTTAATGGATGTCGACGGTAAGGAGTTACAAACATATTTACAATGGGTGAGCCAGGTTCATTCCCCAAAGGAGCGTTTATCAAAACATAACAGCTGCCTTCACGCCAGGATACTACAAGGTCCACCTCGCCGGAAGTTCGTCCAGGTGAATCCCAAGGCGATGGAGACATCCACAGCGGAGCAGCCCAAACAGATCCACAACTGGTGGCCAAAAAGTGAAGAACATTAAATATCTAGAACAACACAACAATCATCAAAATCAAGACGGATACAGTACGGCAAACGAAGATGAAACAAAGGCATTCCCTGACACATGACATGGACTGTGAAACCTTTGACACTTGTGGCGATTTCTGCCTCTTCATATCAAAGTCAAACTCAATGCGCTTCACGCGCCTGAAGTCCTAAGGCACAAGGCCAGCGGCAAGCATGTCACTAGGCGCATAATGCGTTTCAATTTCAGGGAATCTACAGTAGTTTTATGTCTTCATTTTGTAGACGCTACAGAACCTGATAATTTGCTAAGACTCCAACTTCCCTCCCTTGTCCCGAATGAGCAGTGCAGGCAAGGATGTGTCTAACATGGTCTAATGGGCAGCCGGCGTTGTAAATCTTTACATCCCAAAGTTGTAAAATCAAAAATCACGGCGCAGCGAAAGCAGAGTGTTTTCTTTCGTTAAGCCATCTGTACTTCTTGCATGTAAAAATTGCCCAGAAGGTAAATGGCTTGCAGGAAAGCCTCCATGCTGCAGGCAGAAGCAAGCCATGCGAAACAGCCATCTTTGATAGGCGCACTTGCCAAATCTACCTTGGCGCCGATATACATGTTTTTGCTTTGTAGCAACTGACAGTTTTGCTGGTTATTCATTCCAAACTATGGACCCAATCTGCTTGCAAACCTCGCATCTCGTGATCAACCTAAATTCAGGACACGCGAACGCTGGAACCGTTTCTTTTCCGGAGCTATGCCATATCATTTACCTCTCCCTTTTAATGTATGCCAATAAACAAGCATATATATATATATGATTATATATGCACAAACACCACTATATACCATATTCAGCAATATTATGATATACTTTTGAATGTGTGCAAGCTTTGGGATCAGAGGGGGCCTTTAGGTTTTAAAGCAGGGGGTGCCGGGGACCGTGCAAGTCTCACTTGCACTGGTCTGTGGTATCACCTTGGGACGCCGAGTTGACACACCTGCGCGAAAATCGTTGATGCACAATTCCATGCACAAACGTGTCTTTGTTCTTCTGCCATTTCTATGGGCCGTTTCTGAGGTTTCAGGTCGGCACTCTCTATGCTAATCGGGTGTTGCACTATATATATGTTAAACATCTTAAAACTGAATCTGGATCCTTGCACCTTTGCACTTGAAGTTGGTTGGACACCTTTGCGCTCGTTTTATATACCCTGGAACTTCTCTCAGCTAGACGTTGGGACAAGTGGCATTCAGACCGTGCGCACTTTATCCTGAGCGCGTCTCTCATGTCTCTCAATCTTTGAGAGCCTGGAGTGAGCCGAGCCAGAGGTTGGTTAAGGTTTGAAGACTTGGCATCGACAGGTTTCTATGCCAGAAGGTGCCCATAGCGAGCGAGAGGAGCCAGCGCTACGCAGGCAAAACAGACCGTAGCGCCGAAACTTTGAATTCGAGTTCAAGTGAACTCAGCCACGCACCTAGTGTGCACATTGCGCGTTACACGCACACGCAAAACAAGGCTAGGTGCCCTAGGTTTGCTTTAATGAGGTTTGGTCGTGTCCTTGTTCCTTTTCGTGTGGCTCCCCTTTCATTTCCCTTCACACATGTTTCTCTCCTGCCTTTCCCACCTTCATGTCCTGTCATCTCATTCCTTTCTTTCTTTTGCGTGCACATTCGTCTGGCCTAGCGTGCACGTGCACGTGCACGTGCACATCCACATTGAAAACAGGTTGAAAGGTGGTGCCCCAAGCTTCGTTACACGGAGGTCTGGATCCTTGCGCCTTTGGACTTGAACCTGGTTGGACGCCTTTGCACTCGTTTTACCCAGGAACTTTTTTTCACCCAGGCGTTGGGGCAAGCGGCATTCAAGCCCGTACGTACTTTATCCCAAGTGTGTGCACGATTTGATACATTATATACTATATAACTTACTATACATGCTTGATCGTGACTGAACACAGCGTTGGGCTGGCTGCATGCATGGCTGTGCGATGAGCCTATACAGTCTCAACAAAGCCACAAACAGGGACGTGTAGTCTGGCTTGCCGCTGGAGCCAATGCACATGCTGCCAATGTCCCCTCGGACTGGCAGATTGCCTCGATTGATTAGCCGCTGCGCAGGGATCTGTACACTAGGAAAAGTTCCTTCGCCCGTCCCAATCATAGAAGCCTCCCAGCCCATAACGAACAAGTGGTTTGTGGTCGTGATACCGTGTCGTGAAGGCTTAGGAACAAGAAACCTGAGATCATCCATCCTACGAACTGACAAGCTAGGAGACCAGGTGAAGTTGTTGCCCAAGACGGTCTTTCAGGTCTTTAAATGTCTTTAGAGATGATCTCACGTGTCACACGTCTTACTCTCCAGATTTGTGCTTTGTCCATGCAAAAGAGCCGTTTGGGGCAACACTCGTTGACCGGGGGCTACAGCATTGCTCCACCAAAACACTTCTGAAATTCATGGGCAAACTTTCCAAGGTTGCATTTTATAAGGACTGTTGGCTGAGGATGCTGCCATGCAATCCTATGCAATTGTCAGTCTTGTGGAGTAAATCGATTCGAGGCAAGAAACTGCAACCAATGGCTTTCCCAGCTAGAAAAAACACCCCGCAGCCTTCATAAAACTTGGAGCTGAGCGGCAAGAATGCCATGTACCAGAAGACGCCTTGCAGCCATCGAGCAATAACTATAGATACTGGACTACCGTATATATAATATATATATATATAATATTATACACAGTATGTACATGGTTGTTCTGCTCGTCTCATGCAGCTTCTGCCACCTCTTTCACAACACCTTCGAGCAACATACTCCTAAATCCCACCATGGGACCCAGCCTCCCAAAGCCAATTTGCATCTCCTTTTGTGGTGGAAGCGCAGTCCAAACTCGCAAACCTCAGCTCAGCCGGCTCATCCGCAGTGTTGGTCCAAATTACTATAACAGCCGACACTCGACTCAAGGGCCAATGGCCTGGGAATCCTTTTTGAGAGATTTGAAGTATGCCTCTCCACCCGTTCTGGATTTCGAGAGCTAAGTCAAAATCTTAGGTGACTGTGTTTGATGCATCATTCGCAAAGGTGCACTGTTAAAGTAGGAGCTCCGAATTGCTGGCAAATGTTGCTTCAAAATGCGTCAAGGATCGGAGTGCTGGTGAGATTCTGTGCAGTGGCTGTGGCTTCTAGCAGCACCACAAAGATTATATCAAGGTGCCTCTGTCAGGAATGGCTGACGCAACTAACGGCCAGGGCCCCATGTGGCTTCTGAATATATACGTATTGCTCTCTCCTCTCAATCTGTGCATTTCACATAATTGTGTGCATTTCATGTGCATTTCACATCTGTAGGCATGCAAAAGGGTAAAGGGGAACATGCCACCTAGTTCAACATATCATCGGCTGCCCTGCTAGCTCACACAACGCCTTCATTATGTTGAAACCTAAATGCCTGGGTCTAGATCTTCTGAGAATCATGACCCCGTGGTGACAAGCATCTCAACAATCCTCATATACAATTTCTGCCCACCTCATGATCAGGCTCCCAATGAGTAGCACTGCAACTCAAGAGCTATCATTGCATTGAGCCCAAGGTCTTTCACGATCAGGCCGACGAAAAGCTTAGTCAACCGCTCGGGAGTACTGAATCATCATTTGAAGGCCTGGAGCCTCCCTATATAATATAGTAGAGGTATAGTATGGAGTATAAATAAATAAACAAATCATTACTGTCAAATGAATCAAACGCCAACGATATGCCTAGGGTAGGTGAGGTCCAACCCAGTGTCAACATGCGGGTTTACAGTCACAAATTGCTTTGAACATGTCCTGGCCTATCTTTATTTAGCACTGTTATATACAATGATGCCGTAGCTGTAGCTATGTTACAAAATGATCTGATACGTGGTGCACACCAATCATTGCAAAGAGAGCTCGCAGCATGATGCGCCTCCTGCTCAGTGAAGCGCTCAAAAGCTTCATAAGTGCTCTCCAAGTCCTGAAGGGGAGCTTGTTCAGTCCAAACTCTGAACACATGGTAAGTGACAAGCACGGCTTTTGTCCTCACCCTGAGCAGCCTCCCCATCACCATAGTGAAACACCTTGGCACAATGACCGAATAGTGCCCTCAACTTGCAACTCGTGCACAGAAAACACCGTGATTTTCTGAGCTAAGGAACTTGTCCCGACGACTCCAGGGACATCTCATCCGACTCGCCCTTCAAAGCTCTCAGAACTCGCGAATGTGCCAGCACTTGCTGTAGGCGTTGTACCTGGTGAGCTGCTGGAAGTGATGTGAAAGAGTGAAAATTGATCGCGTGGGCATAGTTCCAACTCTGCCGAGCAGCAACATGATCAATAAGAGCATCAGTGCAGCGTCAGTCCTTTGGTTTATCAGTCGTTAATTAGTGTTTCATCCATGATCCTTGCGATCCTCAAGGGAACCCAAAGGGCAGGGCCTCTGCATCTACGTCGACGAAGCCACCCTGCCAAAGCCAATGTCCGACGTATGCGATTGTGGCAGTTGGGATCTCGGCTCTGGCACAGCATTTCCAGCTCTCTCTCTCTAGATATATACCCATATAGGAAGAAGCATGTTTTTCTCCACATCAGTGGAGTAGAAACAGTGCAAACCAACATCTCCCTCAGCCTCCAAACGGCAACCAAGTTCTACCAAGCGGGTATGGGCAGCCACGAAGCGTTGGACCCAAGCGTGATCCACAAGTTCACCTTTCAGCAATTCAAGCAACCCGACAAATGTAGTAACTCCGCTCATCTCCGTTGCCGAACCGCATTGAACAACAGAACATTGTGGAAAGCTAGCTAACATTGCCTCTGGATCAGCAGTACAATGGAAGTAACTGTCTTGGGCTAGACTCGACCACCTGCCACCTGTTCAGCCATCATCATTTGCGTGAGACCTTTTGCGGTGTTTCATGCATACATGACATGGTGCTGCCTTGGTACCGCAGAAGCCCGCGCAAATTCTGACATGTAAGGTCGACCATGGATCGAGGCTGAGGATAGTCTTTTTATGCGGAGTCTCTTTTCCAAATGGACAAAACTTTAGGTCATGGGTCTTCTCGTTTTCGTCGCCTTGTTGCGTGCCCTGTTTTGGACCTTGTTGAACACAGGTTGGTCATATGTCCTTAATCTTGGCTTTACTATTTATCGTTACAGTGAACGGAACACGTTCCGTATATATAAGTGTGATCTGCGAAGACCAACCCGGTGGGCATCCTTTTAAAGATACTTTCTCGTTTGATCTCTCGGCTATAGTTCGTCAAAGGTTGGGGTTTGAAACGGATTGAACCACTGTTAGCCCACTTAGGCTCAGTCCTTGCGCATTTGTCACGGGCGTTGTTGTTTCTTCCTTGCTGTGCCATCCCACCACCATGCAGTAAAACATGCGCAAGCGTCAGCCTTCGCAGCTGTCGAGGTTTCGCGCCAAGACATCAAGCCGATGCTTCAAGGCAGTTGCCTTACACAAGTCAAATGGATTCAAGTGGCGCTTCATGTTGGTTTTCTGCTGCAGCGGAAGCACGAACCCCAACCGTTCAAACCGTCTTTCACATTAAGGGGCCAAATGATCAAAACACAAGTGTGTCGAGCAATGTGGCTGGCCACTGCAACTGTCACTGGCCGTGTCCGGGAAAGCAAGGGGGATGATTACATTGGACAGTTTATGATTTGCTTGCTGCATCTTGCAGCCTATAAGAACACTTCATTACACCTCCTGGAAAGTTGTGCCTCAGCATGCTGGGCGGACCAAGGCAAAGAAGGTGAAGGCGCTGCTTGCAAAGCAGAGGCTAAAATAGTTGGCTCTCGCATCACTGAAGGAGGTGACTTTAAGAGCCGCCACATGGCACATGTCAGACTGCTACACCTTTCTCTCTCTCTCTCTTTCTCTCCACGCTCGTTCAAGAAACATCATTGAAAGAGTTGTGATTCTGAAGGTCTCGAGGATTTCACCAAATAGGTCGCGCTGTGATGATTTATAGCTTTGTCGAACCTTTGGCTCCGCTACTTGTAGGTGAACAACATCATCCGGCTTCTTCGTGCAAACCAGTGAATGAAACAACTTGTCTGGCCTGATGAATCCGCCGCAGCTAAGTGACTTCCCATGTCATGTGACGTCGCCATCCAAAAAACTACGTCTTGCCAAACCGTCATCTCAACTTAGCATTGAGCTCAAAGTCCAAGCCAAACACCGACGGGCTTGACAAGAGCTACAATGGCCTTCAAGCTGGCACAACATCAAAACATCCCAAAACCTAGGATAAGATCTTCAAGGGCTCTCCTGCCATTCTGGACATCAGTGCATTTGAGGCGAATGAGGATGAATCTTTCTGGTCAGCAGGCTCTACAATTTTGTCTGCTGACACCAACACGGCGAGATATCAACAGAAAAGCACCCTCCCGAATTTCTTCGGGGTTGCTGCGGCAAAGTCAGGCGTCAGTCGACCCTCAAATGGTGACTGGGACTGCACGGCGCTTAATCAAGATATACTTTTAGAATTGGTATTAAGAGGCCTAGGCCTAGGCCAATAGGGCAACTACTGCAGCATTTGAGGATTTCAATGCCTAGAGCCTCCCATTGAAGCTCAAAAATGTCTAAATCTCGAATTGAAACATGCAAAGTCAACTTGAACACGGGGTTGACAGAGCGGATGCTCTGGAAGCTTGGAGGAAAACTGAGAGACAAAGACTGCCGGACATCAGGTGTGGCGGGCATCACATCAACCGCTTGGTCGAAGCCTTTTTGACCTTGGCGCTTGCAAGATCAGAAGATATTTGATTCCTGTCATTCCATGGTGCATCATCTCCCTCTATAAACTTGTCACTTCACTTGTCTACCATGTTGGCCTTGAACACCGGCCCAATTGCCCGTTTGTTGTCGACAAGACTTGGGAAACAAAATGAGATGGACCACAATGCACCGCAAATAACCCACAATGCATGACATCTCGCCAATGTTTGCACCCGAATTAGCGTCTCCTGATGTGTCAAGCGTGCATCTTAGCAAATCACCAGATTCCTTCTGGGGCTCCTGTTGGAGTCTTTGCCCAGAATCTCTGTGATATTTATGCCCTGCAGCGCACAAACTCACCGTGCATTCAACCATGATACATCATGTGGCGTTGTCAATATTTCACACAAACGACTTGAGCCAACTGTCATCCCGCCTCGAGCAAGTACGCATCCTCAATCACAGCAAGCCAAATCTTTGCTGTTCAACTTGTTTTTGGACACTCAATCTCCAGTGAATGTCGATGGTTTCGTGTCAAGTGCGATCTGACACAGCCTTGCAGGGAAATGCACACAGCGTGCAAGAACCACCACGAATAAGAAAACCAAAACTTTGGGAAGCCAAACTCATAAGTCAGAATAAGTCCAATGAAACAACGCTAACAATGAATAGAAGTAGAACAACCTTTTGAGGTCTTCTATTGGATTCCTTCAGGTTCCTTCAGCACCTTGGTCGTGTGTTTCAGGGTCCTCACCCTAGTTCATCCCCTTATCGGCAGGGGTGGGGTAGTGGACCACCTGCCTGCCTAGTATTGCATCTGGGGATTGAACCCAGGTCCAACGCATGATTGATACGTCACAGCCACTAGACCATAGCGGCCCCTTCCTTCAGCACCTTGCTCCCACATCCTTGAGCATACCTGTGTCACTGCCGTCAAGACTCTGGAGTAAGGTCTATCGCAACTTGTCTCGCCTGGCATTTAATTGAAGTCTGACTTGTTTGAAGCATAGCTTCCACTAGCGCTTGGCTTCTCTAATGCTTGGCTTGAATATCTTGGGCTTATAAATGCGAATGCAGGGGCAGAACGAAAACTATTTACATACAATAGAGAGTCATGCGCACGCCTGAAATTGTCAATGCACCCACGCGCAGTACATCCTCTGATAAACACAACCCCCGCTCGAGCCTGTTCAAACATTTCCTGCTGCATGCTGCGTAGACTGGCCAGCCTTTCGGGGCACTCAGCTGTCCACAGTGCAATTGAATATGTACATGCAGCTTCTGCCTCTCACTCGCTCTTTCTCCCTTGAATTCTGAATAATTACTCGCACAAAGTCAAAATTCAGCTTGCGTTGCGCCTTTGTTTGTTTGCCTGCTCCTGAAGGCATAGAGTGTCGAAGTGTAGTTGATAAATTCAACGATAGAATGGAATGGTACAAATCAAAGCAACAAAAATCCTCAAACATCTATAAATAACTCTATATATATATAGTGTTTTTGTGATCCATGAGCACCATTTCCCTTTCAAGTAAGTCCGCAAAAAAGAATTCTTGGAAATCTACAAAATACCTTTGGTCATCAGCTGGCAAATTTGGAGAAGCCTACCTCCTCCAGCCAGGGCTCATCCAAATCATCTAAACCTTGGAGCAGTGTTCTCACTGTACTGCTTGTCGATTACTTGTCTTCCAGGATTTATTAAGGACATTATGAATTGTCTCAGGAGTGAGTGGCTGCCCAACCTAGAGTGCCTCACGGAGTTAGTTTTGTTAGGTCAACCCTCCTCCACCTGCCACGGAAAAGGGGGGTGAGGGCTCCACATAGTAGCTTCTGGCTCCTAGTAGTAAGGCCAGGAGCCCCTAGTAGCGTCCTTGTTCCTAGCAGCGATGCCCTTTGCTCCTAGTAGCTTCTTGCTCCTAGTAGTAAGGCCAGGAGCCCCTAGTAGCGTCCTTGTTCCTAGCAGCGATGCCCTTTGCTCCTAGTAGCTTCTTGCTCCTAGTAGTAAGGCCAGGAGCCCCTAGTAGCGTCCTTGTTCCTAGTAGCGATGCCCTTTGCTCCTAGTAGCTTCTTGTTCCTAGTAGTAAGGCCAGGAGCGCCTATTGGTGATATCAGTGAACATGCTGTTTGTGGTCGCCATGTGTGGCGAGCTGGCAGCAATATGTGCGTCCGACTGCCGTCCCTAAGCTGCAGGCCAGCTTCTGCAAGAAGATCTGCCTCGGAATGTGCGTCCAAAAGGTATACATTAGTGATATGATGCAAAATGACTTAATATGCTGTCTTGCCCCTTTGAAGTCCTGTCAAGAGAGCTCCAGCGAATAGGATCTGATAGGCAAACAATCAAGGATTTGCAGGATGCCTGCTCTGCTGCCACACCTGCCGGCCTTGGATGCTTGAGCTCGAGTAAAGGGAGTTTGCTTTGAACATGCCTTGCCATCTCTATTTCACCGTGTTCCTCCACGAACTCACAACGTTAAACTTGGGCTATATAACAGAACTGCAAACCTTACCGCCCGAATGGCTGATAAGAGGCCACACAAATTAGCGCCCCGATTGGTTTGCAAGAATTAACAACTCAGGACCTCAGGATGCTCCAGGGCTTGACCTAGTAAGTATAGTGATTACTGTGACAAATTTCAACTGCCTAACCCGAGCTTGCGCTAAGCTCTTCGCGTGAGCTTCCGCTCCAATGAAATGAGATCGCGACCAATTGCCTGGTGGGTGCAAGCTCTCAGCCAAATCTTTTGCATAAATCCCAGGAACCTGGAAGTATTTCCTTTGCTTGACACTTTGCCCGGATATGGAGAGAAGGGGCACGCCAATGGCCTGTGGCCTGAAAAGAGCTCCTAATTAAATTGCAAGCCTCTGCATCCGCGGCTATCTTGCTTGCGAACTCTGCCTGCGGTCACGCTGGAGTGTCTTTGCCCCTGGGAATGCCAGAGTCTTCGCCACGGAGTGGGGGATGATAAATTGTTGGGCCCGCTGCTTTCCCAACTGTCTTGCGCCCCTTCCTGGCGTCGACTCAGTCCGGCGTCGACTCACTCTCACCAAGAGCTCATTTTCCGACACTCACATTCGACGGTGTGACAGTCCTCCCACCCTCATCTTTTTCGTCTTGTAGAGGAGCCAAACCTGTGTCGCCAAAAGTAGACAATGCCTTGAGCCTGTTTACTCGCTAGAGGACCGACTGCATCATAGGAATGCCATAACCTGCACTACCACGCAATCCCTTTTGGACTTTTGGCAAGTGAGAGGCTAGGAGTAGCCAATGGGAGGGCAAGAGGGGGTGAGAGAGATGTTTGTCATCACTCGCGTAGACCCTAAAGATCAACACTTATAAACATATAATTGCTATATTATCATATAAACGAATAGAGAAAACGCGCAAGGGACGGAGGCCCAAGCTTCCGAATCCCAACAAGTTTAAATTCACGGTACCGTATCCTGATTGAATCAAGCTGCCCGTTACCAACCTGGCTGCATCTGGCTGCTTGTCGCTCTTGGGGCCCCAGCGGGATGAGAACATCATGTACGCGTAAAGCTCTGCAAACTGAGAGGCTGAGAGGCGTCGTGCTGAGTCGCGCATATAGAAGTCAAACCCAAGCAGGCCATCGCTTCTGCCGCTATTAGAAACAAAGAAACATCTAGAAGCCTGTAATCACACCGGCTCTAGTCACCATCTCGAGGCACGACAGTCTCAACAATGGACGCACTCTGAGCCGTGTGCTGGCTTCACCTGGCTGCAGCCAAGACATGATCCGAGAGCGCCAGTACGGACGTGCGTTGATCATGCGAAGGAACCCCCTGTCCCTCTACACGTTCCCCGTCTCGTGAGTCGCGCGCAAAGGGATCAGGGTATATATCGGCTCTCACCGGAGAGTCTTGACTGTTTACCTCGCTGCATCTCGCTGCCGCAAACAGAATAAGATCTATTGTTACTAGTAGCTTCTTGCCCCTGGTAGCGTCCTTGCTCCTAGTAGTAAGGCCAGGAGCCCCTAGTAGCTAATTAAACTAATAAACATGGAGAAACAAATTCATCCGGTGGTGTCCAACTCTCGACTGCAAACGCAACAGTTTTGCAGGACCCACCTCCCTGAGCCACTCGTGCTGCAGCTGGGTGTGCCTTGGGTCAGGATGGCCTTCACCGTGCCTTCAATTGAAGCAAATTGCCATTGCTCCAAGGAATGAA